TGATTTCATCTTTCTGTGATTATTTTTTGAAAAAGTAAGCAAATACGTAACTATTTGCTTATCTCCCCTTTGTTTTCATTCTAGCTTAAGAAAATGTTTAGGAATTCCCTTGAGGTCCAAAAACATGAAGTCACATCGAATTGTGGCCTAATTAGCATTTTTGAACATGACTGTGTGGATAAATCATTTATTTTACCTGCTTTTATCAGTGTCCTGTTGGGAGACAGGAGCAGAAACCACTTTGTGTGTTTTAAACAAGAAAGAATATGATTTTTAGGGAATAAGGCTACAAAGTACTACAAAGAATAGAGGAACAGACCAGCCTGACCAACGTGGAGAAACCCCATCTCTACTAAAAATACAAAATTAGCCGGGCATGGTGACACATGCCTGTAATCCCTTCTACTCAGGAGGCTGAGGCAGCAGAATCACTTGAACCTGAGAGATAGAGGTTGTGGTGAGCCGAGATTGCACCATTTTACTCCAACCTGGGCAACAAGACCAAGATTCTGTCTCAAAAAAATAAAAATAAAAAAGAATAAAGGAACAAAAGGAAGGAAGATGATGTTTCTGGAGGTAAGGATTACAGAAAGCCTTTGACCCTGCAAGGATGAGTACTGTTCAGAGTTCACCATCATTTGCCTCCATTGTCATGTTGCTGCTACTAGATCCCCCATTTATCTGCTATATGTCCCTATGTAGGAGCTCACAGGGGCGACTGCTCTCTGTTGGTGGTGGTGGCATCACCAGGAGCAGAATGGATTCTTTCCCTTATGCCTTTTAATTTGGTATAGATGCCATTGGCAGAACCTAATAGGAACTCAGTAACTGTCAGAATATTAATGCATGTCCAAGCACTTGAACTAGCTTATCATTAAGGTCCTAGAACTGCCTACCTATGTAGAATGTTTCTGTAGGATTCATGAAAAGTATTGTGGAAGTCTTAATGGTATTTACTACGTTAAAAAGTCCAGATTAGATCATAATATATTTTCCCCCTTTTGGTTAGATGCAACTGAAATTCTGAATCCAGTTAGGAAGTTGCAGCTAGCAGGGGCTTTCAGTTGTGCTGTGTATTTGGCAAGAAAGTTCAAGAACTGGCTTTTTTCTAGAACATGTTATAAATTCATTGTAAATATAAATGATATTTGCAGCTTGTAGATGCTGTTTTGCCCAGAACATTTTTTTAATTGAATTGAATATGCCTAATATATCAGTGTACTCCTTATTAAGAAAATAAGGGAATGTGGCCGGGTGCGGTGGCTCACACCTGTAATCTCAGCACTTTGGGAGGCGGAGGCAGGCGGATCACGAGGTCAAGAGATTGAGATCATCCTGCCCAACATGGTGAAACCCCGTTTCTACTAAAAATACAAAAATTAGCTGGGCGTGGTGGTGTGCGCCAGTAGTCCCAGCTACTCGGGAGGCTGAGGCAGAAGAATTGCTTGAACCCTGGAGGCAGAGATTGCAGTGAGCCAAGATCACGCCACTGCAATCCAGCCTGGAGCCTGTCAATGGAGTGAGACTCTGTCTCAAAAAAAAAAAAAAAAAGACAATAAGGGAATGTATCTGGGCCCACGCCTTTGGTCCCAGCTCTTTGGGAGGCCAAGGCAGACAGATTACCTGACGTCAGGAATTCGAGACCAGTGTGGCCATCATGACAAAACCTCATCTCTACTAAAAATACAAAAATTAGTAATCCTAGCTATTCAGGAGGCTGAGGCGGGAGAATTGCTTGAACCTGGGAGGCAGAGGTTGTGGTGAGCTGAGATCATGCCACTGCACTCCAGCCTGGTTGACAGAACAAACTCTTGTCTCAAGAAAAAGAAAATCAGGGAATGCCAGAATTGTGTACAACTTATTTGCCTTGATATATCAAATGGAGGAAACCTGCAGAAACGCTGGAAACTAGAGTAGGTTGCTACCTACATACCATACAATTTTCCTTAAAATTTTTTTAAGAAATTCAGAGAAGTGTTAGATTCGGAGAACTATTTCGAATCATAGGAAGAAGTGGAGAGCTCTCATTTCCTAGGCTCGAGAAAGTTGAATACTTATTGGAAATGTAGGACTCCAGAAAACCCTTAATTTGCAGGTGCAGGGACTAAAGGGTGACAATTAGCTTGGGGTCCTTTTCAGCCAGTATTATTTGAAACCAGCTCTGCACAGAAACCCAAGAGTAGGCTTCTCCTCCCACTTCCACTTCTAAATTGCAGCAGTTGGGCTGCAGTAGATATCTGCAGTGAGGGATGAGCCACAGAGAAGCTGTGCAGTGACTCAGCCCACCTTCCTACATTAAACTTGGTAATCTTACATTTGTGTTTATTTTTCTGGCTTTTGTGATGAATATGGTATGGTCATATCTTACATGGGGTTAGGTTCTAATGTTAGTAAGGCAAAATGTCACGTATACCTAAAATCACACTTCACAAAATTCTAGAGAAGGCATAATCATTTTGGAGACTGCCCCATCTATTCTCAGTAGAGCAGGTAGTCACTTTTATGTCCGCTGTTTGAACAGATGGTTAGGGTGATTCTTTTTTTTTTTTTTTTTTGAGGCAGTTTCACTTTGTCACCAGGCACCAGGCTGGAGTGCAGTGGCACAATCTCACTGCAACCTCTGCCTTCCGGGTTCAAGCAATTCTCCTGCCTCAGCCACCCGAGTAGCTGGGACTACAGGTGCATGCCACCACGCCCAGCTAATTTTTTTGTATTTTTAGTAGAGACAGGGTTTCACCATGTTAGATGGCCAGAATGGTCTCGATCTCTTGACCTCATGATCCGCCCACCTCAACCTCCCAAAGTGCTGGAATTATAGGCTTGAGCCACCGCGCCCGGCCAGGGTGATTCTTAAGTTGAGTGCTAGCTAAGGTAATAGGCTTGTGTTACAGGGGCTGAGATTTTAAACACTACGGTGATAAACAGCATGTTGATGTACTTATGCTCTGCAAGATACCCAATGAGAGACTAACGTGGGAATAGCAGGTTTACATCACATGCCTCATACTTTACCTCTCTGGGGCATACCCTTCTTGAATGGAATGACTGGTAGAATCACGACTACTATTTAAACTCTCTATTTCTGGCTAAGTGCACATAATTGAATTTTGTCCACATCAAGTGAGTAAATGATGTGACCACTGTAAAGACATAAATGTATGAATCTGCAACATAAAAAGAGGCTCCATAGGAAACAAAGTATTTGATAGCAGCTTTTTTCTCAAAATTCTCCAAGACTGAAAATGAGAAGATCTAAAACATGAAGGAGCAGTTCAGGATGAAATATTGACAATACATAAAGTGTGTGAAGCTGATTATAAAACATGTATGAGAGCTGGGCGTGGTGGTGTGTGCCTATTATCCCAGCACATTGGGAGGCTGAGGTGAGAGGATAGCTTGAGGCCAGGAGTTCAAGACTAGCCTGGGCAATATAGCCTGACCTCTAATTTTTTTCCCTCCTGTGGATAAAAATGTAAGGGAAACAGGACTGTCGTCTCTGTTTTTTTTTTTTAATATGTGAATATAATTTTGAGTGAAATATATGCCAAAATTTTATAAAGTTTTTTTTCAATTCTTGGATAAATGATTTGCTTGCTATATAAGAACGTAGGTTTGACATTTATGGATTTAACATTCCTGCTTTGACTATTCCTAAGTAACCTGGAAGTCTCAAGATATGCAGTGGTATGTGATTTTGCTGATTTAATGTGCAGAAATGAGTCCATTACTTAGAAAGTGTGCCTTGCCAGCTGCCCAGTTTATCTCAGGACAGCTTTTTATGTTTGTTTGTTTGTTTTTTGTTTTGTTATGTTTTGTTTTGAGACACGGTCTCACTGTCACCCAGACTGGAGTGCAGCCTCAACCTCTCGGGCTTAAGCAATCCTTTTGCCCCAGCCTTTTGAGTAGCTGGGACTGCAGACACGTACCACCATGCCCAGCTAATTTTAAATTTTTTTACAGAGATTGGGTTTCATCCATATTGCCCAGGCTGGTCTCAAACTGCTGGCCTCAAGTGATCCGCCCACGGCTCCCAAACTGTTGGGATTACAGGAGTGAGCCACCGTGCCCAGCCTGTTTTTCTTGATTCATTCTTCTGCAGTATTTGCCATGAAGCAATAAACACTGCACCTCTATAAAATCTAGCACTTTGAAAGAAAGCAGGCTAAATTAAGACTGATCTTCAAAGAGAATAGACAGAAGAAATTGATAGTCCTGTCAGAAAACAGGTTTTGATATATTAAAGACTAGGATGTTTGACATGAACATAGTTTGTCATTTTAAACATGGGGGAAAGTTAGGCAGTGATACTCAAAGAAGACAAAAATGGTATTTCTCTTCTTTAAAAATATCAGGATGAGCCAGGCATGTTGGGTCATGCCTTTAATCCTATGACTTTGGGAGGCCGAGGCAGGATTGTTTGAGCCCCGGAGTTCAAGATCAGCCTAGGCAACATAGCAAGACACCCATCTCTATTATTTAAAATAAAAATATTAAAAATATAAAAAAAAATCTATATCTTTATTCAAGAGAAATGTACTGTTAAGGAAGCTGCTGTTACCTCTAGTAAAGAATCTAAGTAACTTCAAACCATACATAGATTTTGGATAAATAGAAAAAATCTTGTACATTTTAACAGTATTAGGAAGATTCTCTAAATATAGGCAAAGAACTGAAGAGTTCCATAGAAGGTGACTAACTATAAATGTATTATACATGACTGGAAAAGTAATGGCAAGCAAGACTTCAGAGCTGAGCTATCTTGATATTTTTATCCAGTGTGTGGGGTGTTATACATGCATCACAGCTATAATAGAGCTATCACATGGATCTTTTGAAAAACAAGATAGAGATGTTTTAAAGGCTTCTGGGTTTGATTTCTTAGTCAGATGCTGTGGTACTTGGCATTTAACAAGTAGAATTCAGAATCCAGATTTTTAAAAGTGAATTATTTTAAATAACTGAGTTGTACTAAAGAAGTAATTTATTTGAAATTATTTTAGGAAATGGAAGATAAAGTAACTAGTCCAGAGAAAGCTGAAGAAGCAAAATTAAAAGCAAGATATCCTCATCTGGGACAAAAGCCTGGAGGTTCAGATTTCTTAAGGAAACGATTACAGAAAGGGGTAAGTTCTCATGGGTGATTTTCAGATACTTAAACCCACAAATTCAGTATGCTAACAGATTGTGAAATGAATGTCTGTGCGTATAGTGCTGTACTTTAATGTACGTATGTGTATATGTATCTATAATGGGTTTTTTCAATATTTTGCAGTTTATAAGTAAGCTTAATAAGAATCTACAACTCTTTAGCATTTTTAATAAACTATTTAAAGCTTGTAGAAATATTACAGATGTAACAGAACCCATGTACCCCAACCCAGATTTAATGTTTATATTTTGCCGTGTTTCAGTTTTATCTTTCTTAAGAAAGATAATGTTGTAGATATAGTTGAAACCTACCATGTATGTATATATATGAGCCCTTTCCTTTATCTCTCCAAAAGCAACCACTATCCAGAAGCTGGTCTTTATCCTTCTGCCCATATTTTGAAACAGATTGTGAATCTGTTTTCCAGATGATTCCCACGCAACATTCAAAGACTTAAAATACTTATTTGGATGAAATAATCACTTATAAAAGCGCAGCTATCTCCTTTATATAGGTTTCACAGTCAGATTTACCCTAATACAATTTAAACATTGTCATTTTAATAGTTCATATTGCCGAAGATATTTTCAAACTCTTGCCATGCTTTGTGAGGTAGATACCATTATTTCTCGATAATGAGATTGAGATAATCCTAGCCTGTTTGTTTCCTAAGTGTTGTCCTGTGACCCCTTCCTTTGCCATAAAAAATTAGACAGTTCCATCTTCAGCTTAAGCATATTCAAATTATTTACTATACAGAAAAGGATGAAATATTACTTATGGAAGATAATTGTTGAGTGAGATGCTAAATCATGTTTCTCCTTAAATACATTCATATATTGGTATCAGCTGCTTGCTTAAAAAAACATGTCTATGTGTGTATTAACTCTAGTTACATATGGATTGTTTTAAAGTGGCAAAAGATAGAATGGTATTTTTAATCTTACATGAAAGAATAACATTCACAGCTTTGAAATAGTAGGATGACAAGGAATAATTACAGCAAATTTATAAATATGTAAAACTCCTGTACCATAAAATATATAATCAAGTAGGGAAGTAAATGATAGTTAATATCTAAAATACATAAAGAAACTTTTAAATATACAAAAGGGAACTTTTAAGTATACAAGAAAAACATTTAAGGTGCTCCTAGATAAAGGATTTTAACAGGAAATACAATAAACAGAGAAATCAATGAAATGCGATTACATCATAGCATTTATACAACTAAATTACAAAAATGTTTCAAATAATACCTGTTGGTAATGTTGAAGTTGAATGAATTATTACTTGTTTCTAAAGGAGTATGAATCTAGCTTTATACAATTATTCAAATGAATAATTGTAAATTAATCTAAGGGTATAATTCAGTACAAGGAAAAAGTCTTCAAATTGGAAGATCCTCCTAACTATAATTAGTAGCACCACTGTTCAACAGCAGAGAAATGACCAAATAAATTGAAGTAAGTCAACAAAATACAGTATGCGGTTATTTTAAAACATAAAGATCATAATATGAGGGATAAATAGAAAAAGTAGAATAAGGACTGTGTTTTTAGTTATGAGATAAATTATGTAATCTTTGGCTATTAAATTATTTTGATTTGATTATTATTGTTTAGGAAATGTTTTATTTGCTCATCTCCAGCGTAACTTTGACTAATAGGCTTTCTTCCAATATTGGGGCTATTGTCATTGTAATTTCTCTCTAACTTCAACTATTGATTACTTTTTAAGTATCTTCAGGTCAGATTTTATGTACATTATATCTTGAAGTTGGTGTTACAGATATAAATAGTAGGAAATGCCACTGAATCAAGAAATAAGTATATAGAATTTGAGAAGTAAGCTCTTGAATGATTCTGTACTATAGCAGAATGTCAGTAAATAAGGTTTGTTTGTTGGTTTGTTTTGTTTTGTTTTTGAGACAGAATTTTGCTGTTGTTGCCCAGGCTGGAGTGCAATGCCACAATTTCGGCTCACTGCAATCTCCACCTCCCGGGTTCAAGTGATTCTCCTTCCTCAGCCTCCGGAGCAGCCGGGATTACAGGCACATGCCACCACTCCTGGCTTATATTTTGTATTTTTAGTAGAGACGGGGTTTTACCATGTTAGTCGGACTGGTCTTAAATTCCTGACCTCAGGTGATCCACCCGCCTCAGCCTTTCAAAGTGCTGGGGTTACAGGCATGAGCCACCACACCCAGCCATTTTTTATATGAAGTTTTGATTTTTTTTAAAACTCTGGATCACAGGTTCTGGGTTTTAATTTTCCTCTGTCACTAGTTAGCAAACTTGACAAGTTACCTTAGCATCTTTAAGTAGCTTCTCCATTTGAGAAGGTTTGGTTAGATATTATGATTTATTGTAATAGGTCTCTTTCTGTGTTGTACTCATTAATGTTATTATAAGGTTATTGTTGTTATTAGGCTTTTCCCAGTATGACCATGTACACATAACTACATAGATTATCAGAACTGGGAGGGATATCAAGAAGCTGTGTGGCCCATTTTTACTCTTTTTATTTCCTTTTGATTTTGGTTTTGTTTTTGTTTTTTCATATTTGTAGGGGTTGTGAAGTCCCAAGAAAACAGAGAATCCACTTGTAAGAAACATGACTTTACAGTTGAACATTTTCACTTTAAGTGATCACTTAGTGTCAGTGTAGTTGTAAATGCCAATGTAAGTGTGGCCCATAAATTTGGGTGAGATGAAGCTTTTATAAGATTATCATCTGGATCATAATTAATTTTTAAATATTTTCATTACAAACTCATGAAATTTAGAGATTGTTAAAGACAACTAATGTCATTATCTTTGTTATCTGTGGATCCCAATTTCAGAAACAATTTAGCTCACTTCTCCACCTTAAAGCATTGACTTCTTTGTCTGGCATCTTTGTTGTATCATTGTCTTTGCTGAATCTCTGTGAGGATTTGCCACCTTTTGCAGTAACCTTTTCCTTTGTAAGGCAATTCTAATTGTCACGCATTGATCTTAGTTTTATCTCTAGTCACACTGAATTTAATTCCTTTCCCCCAGACGGAGTAGACTAATCTACAGTTAAGTGAGATCCCTTTGTGATGAACTTTTGCTTACTATAAAATTGTTATCATTAGAAACTGAGTTTATTACATTGGGGGGAAATCTGCCTACAACTTACATGTGTGTTAAATTTCTCAGTTTGTGCTTTTGACAAAAAAGAAATTTGGCAGGCTGCTTTGTTCTCCTCTACAGGCTACAAAATTCATAAGTAGCTTTTTAAATATAATACAGTACATCAAAATTTCAAGGGTTTTCTGTCTGCTCGTTTTGAAACACAGAAGTGAAGCTGCAGCACGCTTTAGATGGGCCTGGTCCAAGGTTCCCCGTTACTGTTTTATATGGTTCATATACAGTAATACATGAAAGCAGTTTCTATCTTTAAGCCTTTGGGCCATAGGCCAGGTTTGGCTTATCAAAGAATGGTGGAATAAAGCAGTCAGTGAGACTTTTTCCTCAGGCCACTCAACAATCTTAAACTAAGCTGTGAGTTCCTAGCTAGCATGAGGTATCCCTGAAGATATTCCATAAATGTTATCTGGTTTTTTTTTCCCTTTTGTCCAAGCCCTCATTTTATACCTGGATGATTTCCTTTGCCAACCCAAGACTAAGATTAGATTCCCCTGCTTTGAGTGCCACACAGCACTGTGTATACTTAAGGCAGTATTGTAATTTTTGATTACTTGATTAGTGTCCCATCTTTGTATCTTACTCCAACTCTCACATAGTACCTCATGTATAGCAGGCACTCAGTAAAGATGGGTTCAACATGACAGGTGTAAGTCAGAACCCAGGCAAATTTACGTTTTCACTCTGGAAGTCAAGTAGATTGATTGTATTAATGTTGATATTTAGCTGTCTTCACTATTTGCATGTTGATGACAAAGGGCAACTTAAAAAAGCAGTAGTAATACTTAGTATCTCTGTGAAAGATAGAAGAGGTGTAGGGTAGGGATATACATTTTAAGTAATAATTTCTAGTGAGTTTATTTCATTCATTACTCTAATATTTATGTTTTTAACCTTAACTTTTATTTTGGTGAATGCGCTAGTTCAAATAAATATGATTTAAATTCTTGCAGCAACATTTATTCTAAATGACAGAATACCAGAAACTATAAATAATAGTTTTAATAACTGTAATTATGTGGGATATTTTTGTTTGTTTTTGAGACAGAGTCTTGCTCTGTCGCCCAGGCTGGGGTAAGTCTCTGCAACTTCTGCACCCCGGGTTGCAGCGATTCTTATGTCTCAGCCTCCCGAGTAGCTGGAGTTACAGGCACGTACCACCACGTCCAGCTAATTTTTGTATTTTTAGTAGAGGTGGGGTTTCACCATGTTGGCCGGGCTGGTTTCAAACTCCTGACCTCCAGTGATCCTCCCGCCTCGGCCTGTCAAAGTGTTGGGATTATAGGCGTGAGCCACCATGCCCAGCTGAATTATGTGTTTTATTTATAAAATAATTTAAGCAAGTGTTTCAGCCTGGTTGTTCCATTTGTAAATGAAAGGGTTTTTTTTTTTCGCTGAGTTAAATAAATTATAATATTAAATAAATACACCAATATTAAGCTATCTAGGACTTCCCAGATAGCTTAATATTAGTCTTGATGGTTCTTTATTAGAACCAGAATGGTTCAAGAAAGCCTGGAGGGGGGTTGTTGTTGTTTTTCTTCTTCTTCTTTCTTCTTTTTCTTCTTTCTTCTTTCTTCTTCTTCTTCTTCTTCTTCCTTCTTTCTTCTTCTTTCTTTCCTTCCTTCCTTTCCTCCTCCTCCTCCTCCCTCTTTCTTTCTTTCCTTCTTTCTTCTTCCTTTCTTCTTCTTTTTTTTTTTTTTTTTTTTTTTTGAGACGGTGTCACCCTGTTGCCCAGACTGAAGTACAGTGGGGTGATCTCAGCTCACTGCAGCCTCTACCTGCCAGGTTCAAGTGACTCTCAGGCCTCAGCCGCTGAAGTTACAGGTGTGTGCTGGAATTAAAAATGTGCACCACCACACCCAGCTAATTTATGGTTTTTGTTGTTGTTTTTTTTTTTGTTTTTTTTTGTTGTTGTTGTTTTTTGTTTTTTTTAAGTAGAGACGGGTTTTCACCATATTGGCCAGGCTGGTGTCAAACTCCTGACCTCAAGTGGTTTGCCCATCTTGGCATTGGGATTTCAAACATTAGCCACTGCGCCCAGCCTGAACAGGGGCTCCTCACCTGTTGATTTATGCTGGAACACAATACAGAGGCATAGCTATTTCATCTAATTAATATTTCTGTTTAAATTTTTTTAGACCAATCTTACACTGACAGTGTGGGTTTGCATCAGTAATTGCTAAGCTCTAATCTGAATTTTTTTTTTATTTATAGCAAAAATATTTTGATTCTGGGGATTACAACATGGCTAAAGCAAAAATGAAGAACAAGCAACTTCCTACTGCAGCTCCGGATAAGACAGAGGTCACTGGTGACCACATTCCCACTCCACAGGATCTTCCTCAACGGAAACCATCCCTTGTTGCTAGCAAGCTGGCCGGCTGATTAAAAGAGCTGAACTGCATGAATCTGCTAATTCCCATTATTTTTCCTTAATATGTTACTTACCTACTTTTTATTTCCTTTCATTCACTAAGTCATTTGAGACTGACAGCTTTGCAGGTAGCAGTAGTGTGTGCTGCTATTGTGGAATATACATGTGTAGAGTTTTTGATTAGTTTAACAGTGCACTGGTGAAGAGGACGTGTTAGAGAAGCATAAGTAATCTACTTGAAAATAATTGTATATATTACCTAACTCCTAGTGTAGTACTGGTTCTAACAAGTAACAAGCAAGTTTTAAAATTTTAATGTTTTGGCTTTCATTACTTCATCTTAATTATAGCTTTGTATGTTACTCTTATTTAATATAATCTATTGTATTGATTTATTCTGTATTTACCTTTTGGATTTTGTAAAACAGAAGTTTAAGACCACAAGTTAGAAGAAAGGTCACGTATTTCAAACCAACTAGATGGGGCTTTGAAAGATTTGTATCTCTATGCTTGAACTTGAATGGCCTTAAACCTGTTTCAGCTTTAACAATAGAATTTTACTTGGGCAATATTTGCCCATTCTGGTGTAACTTACGTGACTCTAGTTCTTAACAGCTGCCATTGAAGCTAATACTCTTATTTCAGTTCTGTAGAGTTAGAATACCTTTTGTTGTTGAAGATGTGAATGAAGTATGCATGTGCATTGACTTGAATTCACTTTTGTGCCATTTTTGTAAATACAATAGTTTTGCACAACCTCTCACAAATGTCTGTATTAATTTCACATATTTAAAAAATAGATAATGTGCCAACCAGAAGCACAAGAGTTCTTACACAAAACTCTGTAAGTTATTACAGCTTTTGTATAATAAGAGTAGTTTACAATCTCGGGCTTATAGAATACCAAACTGAAATCTTAGTTCAATCTGCCATAGACTTAAGCTTTTCATTTGTTACTAACACCCATGACATTCAGTGGCCTTGTGCAAATACGATATGTTGCTTAGGCATATCTTTTGTCCTATGCAGAACCTTTCATTTTGATTTGTATGAAAGTTGCAATTCATGTAATTTATATAAACTTTTTAAATGTAGAAACTTTTTACTTCCACACTCAACTTTGGAGACACTAGAGTAAAAGGCATCAATACTCTGCATTCCATGCCCCCGCCACCTGCCTCTCCTCCACCACCCCTGCCGCTTTGTTCTTTGACTCAAATAGCATTGGGCTGTTTGTTCTATATGGAAGCTTAGGTGTCTATATCCTTACTCTTTTATATAACACATTACAGTAATGATGTTTTCCTCTGAATTTTTTAGTTGTTAAATAACCTCTCTGGTTTTTTGTTTTTTTTTTTTTTTTTTGAGATAGGGTCTTGCTCTATCACCTGGGCTGTACTGCAGTAGTACAATCATAGCTCACTGCAGCTTTACTCCTAGGCTCAAGTTAACTATTCTTAATCCTTTATTACTAATATTCTACAATTGCCTAAAATGAGCTTTATAATGAAACAGTTCAGAATGCTGGCTCAAGAACCTATGTCAAGATGAGCTGAATTTGGGGAAATTATTTTAAGAATTATGACAAGCTAATTGAATTAGGCTTGTGACAATGAGAATAGTATACATGACAGGTAAAACTTAAAAATGTTTAGATAGTTGCTTCTATCGATGTTGCTTTAATAAAATACCAATTTAGTTTTACTTGTGGCCTACCTAGTTAGTAAGAACTTTAACAGACTTTATTGGGACAAGTTTACCGCTCTTGTAGGAGCTCCTCTCACAAGTAGTTGTAATGCCGTAGCGTGATGCTCAGGATCAGTAGCTTGAGATGTTACTATTTTTCTCTTCAACTTTGACTTGCAGAGAGCCTCCCCTTTTTGGATCCAGGCATCTTTTCTGAATCCTGGTTCCATTAGTATACCTGGTCTCCTATGATCCCAAATCATAGTCAGTGGTGCCTCAAACATAGCACCTTCAGTTAAAGGCTGCCTTGGACTCTGAGGAAAGCTTGGTGATTATCTTCCTGCTCTACTCACCCCAAAAGGCAGAAAAGCAACACAGTCAGTCCTGTGCTCATTTGTAATTGTAAAGATCAGTTATATACATATATATATATATATTTGTAATGCAAGCAAGTATAATATACTCATTATAGGATCAATTTAAGAAGTTTAAAATATCCCAAAGTAGAATTTCTGTATCTAGTCTTTTGTTTTTTTCATGAATATATGCAAGCGATTACCATTAAATTCACATGTGAAAGATTAATCTGAAAGATTAGACCGTGATAGAACTGCTCCTGTGATTGGGGACAAGTAACAAAACATCTGCTTGAATTTTGTTTGTAAAATACACTCTTAATATTTGACCTACCTCAAAATGTATTGAGGATCTGTGAAATGCTAAGTGCCCAAAATTAAATATTGCTGATTGTCTTTTTATTAAAAGTAAATTTCCTCATTAAGCCAACCTGCCTTGTGTAAGTCACAGTGCTTAAATCTCAGGAGTTTTCATTAGGAGAGACCTGCCATTAAGGATTTGTAGGTATAATTGCTTAGCCTCCGTTATTGGTGCTTGGGATAGAGAGGTTTTAGATTTTTCTGTTTTGTGTTCTGCCTCAAAGTTCAGTTTATTGAAGACATTTGTAAGCTACTGAATCACTTGAATCAAGATTTTGACTAGTGAGCTTAATTGTCCATTTCTTATGATTTCAAAGTTATAGTCTGAGAAATGGCTAATTTTAATAACTGTCCTATTATAAATTAATGTTGGAATAAACTGAAGTTAGAGATAAATACTTCATGAAAACTGGCTAAAGTCTGAAATCACTTGTTTTATGTCCAATAGCAACTACATTTGGTAGAACAGTTTTGAGAAACATTTCATTCTTGAAGGCAACATCTGACATGGTTCTCAGCAAGTTGGAATGGTAAGGATTGTTGGGTTGTTTTGATGAGTGGAAGCAGCATGTTTGTAGCATACAAGTTATTCAATAATCTTGTGCTGTTGACCTAAAAATATGTCTTAACTATTCATCAAGGCAAGCCTGGTGAAGCCTTTACTTGTTACTACTTCAACAGTTGGAATTAGTTGCTCTTTTTACTTGATGAAACTATACCTCTGATTATTTATGGATATTTTTTACTAAATCAGGCTTGTGTTTGTAATCCAACTGAGTAAAGTTTTATGGAAGCTGAAATGTAATACAGTAATCTCCCCTTATCTGCAAGAGACACATTCCAAGACCCCCAGTGGACACCTGAAACCTCAGATAGTATTGAACCCCTTATAATACAGTCGACTCCCCCTATCTGCAGGAGGTACATTCCAAGATCCCTAGTGGGTATCTGAAACTTCAGGTAGTACGGAACCCTTTATAGACTATATTTTTTCAATCTGACAACCAAGGCGGCTACTAAGCAACTATGGGGCATGTAGTATATAGTGTGGGTAAGCAGGACAAAGGGATGATTCACATCCTGGGCAAGACAGAGCAGGAGATCATAAGATTTCATCACTCAAGATAGCTTGTGATTTATTTTATTTTTATTAATATTTTTGTTTGAGATGAGTCTTGTTCTGTTGCCCAGATTGGAGTTTAGTGGTGCGATCTTCACTCACTGGAACCTCCACCTCCCGGGTTCAAGCGATTCTTTTGCCTCAGCCTCTCAAGTAGCTGGGATTACAGGTGCCCACCACCATGCCCAGCTAATTTTTTTATTTTTAGAAGAGATGGGTTTTCACCAAGTTGGCCAGGCTGGTCTTGAACTCCTGACCTCAGGTGATCCACCTGCCTTGTCCTCCCACAGTGCTGGGAATTCAGGCATGTACCACCGTGCCCAGCTGGCTTGTGATTTAAAACATGAATTGTTTATTTCTGGAATTTTCCACATAATATGTTTGGACCAAGGTTGCCTCAGGTAACAAACTACAGAAAGAGAAATTGCAGATAAAGGGGGTTACTGTTCCTGTGCTCTAATATTGGTGTTTGGGTGCTCAGGAGCAGGTAGCCAATTGGAAGAGCACTTCTGAATGATAACTAAAGCAGTTTCTCTGGTGGCCTTTTCACATTCTCCAATGTTCAAGCATATTTTCCACTTTATATTTTCTCTTTCACCTCATTTTGCTTCGCCCCCCCATCCCTGCTTATTTCTTAAGCCCATTGATGGCACTCATTAAATTGTGTTTAGGACTAATGAATCATTGATCCTTAATATTCTTTTCAATGTGACACAATTTAGGACGCATTTAAAATTTTCTAAAACAATATCCTAATCTGAATATTGACAAATTTGAGCTACATTCCCAACTCCAGTTCAGCACACACTGCCAGTCTTCCCCAATATCTCCTCTCAGCTCTCCACCATACCTTATAAAATTGGAATCAAAGATAATCTTGTTCTGTCAATGTTAATCTAAGAATAAAAACACTGATTTTAATACTGTTTTACTAGTTTCAGCCTTCTAAGTAGGTAGGCATCTTGGTATTTTGCAGCTCACTGGTGGTTTTTATAGCCGTTAATATGTATTATGTTATTTTTCAACTAAATCGCAGTTGGAAAAAAACATCTTATGTATTACGCCCTTGGATCTGTTACTGCATCACTACCAATTGTGATGCAATAGGACACTTCACCTGTACTCAAAGGGCCAAGAGTAAATGCCTTGTTTTTGTTTTTTTGTTAAACATGTCTATAGGGTTGGCAGTTAATGCTGAATTTGTCAAATAGCCCTTCCAAAATTATACTTGTATTTAAAAAAATAAATGGATCTACCTAATTTCTATTGGTTTAACTTGAAGTTTTGTCTTATTAAAGTGGTATGTTTTTCAGTGTACTCTTTCTGAAGTTGATTTCTTTACATTTCAGCTATTACTGTATGCAGAAAGAAACTGACTTGTAATCTTTGATTTTTTTTTCTTTTTTTTGCGTTAGTAAAGGCTTTGTACTTAAGAGAGGATTAAATGTTTTCAGATTGTGAGTCTTCGTCTTATTTGTGAAACATGACAGAGAAGGGCCTTCAACGTGGCTGACTAGAGATGTCTGGTACCCAGCTTCTCCACAAAGAGCCACAATAGTGAGGAGATAACACCTCAATTAGATCATACAAGAGAAAACTTAGGAATTAAACAGAGAAAGGACAAGAAACACTTAAGGAGAAGGAAGCAAGGCAGCCTGCTTGACCAGGATCTTCTGGGGGCCTGGAAAGATTAAATGAGTGACTCCCAGAAGTCCATGTTCTCACCACAGACTCCTGCATCCTAGCCACAGGAAACCTCCAGACCCTTATAGGCCCCAAGACAATACAGGGAGCTGCTTGGAGACCACAAAAGATACTGTTCCAGAGAGAGAGTTTACACTGTCCCCCAACCCAAAACCCTAAGCAGCTACAGCAAGGCACCATATGGAAAGCTTAGCTCCCACCAGACTGCATCCTGCCCAGAAGCCCTACAGCCCTTGCATCTCCACATCTCTAGAACCCCATTGATGTTCCGCACCAATAGCCACCACTACCACAGCTGGCTGCTGCCTACAGGGCTGAAGTGCCAGCCATTGGCAAAGACCTTGCTGCCTTAGTAGTAAAGCTACCATGCATTTTTGTGTGCCCTGAGGACAAACTCCCCTGCCTGCAGTGGCCTGACCACAAGCTGCTGCAACCAAGGCCAACGCACAAGTGATACACAGGCTTAAAGCCTCCTGGGTGTGGCTACTGCAACTGAAAACAACCCTGCCCTCTACAGCATCAGGGCCGCAGTGTAGCTAACTGTCCCGCCTCCTCCCTCCCCCATCACCATTGAAAGCATTCTGCCATAAGCCTGAGGATCACCCTTTCCCTTCCTGCCACAGTCAGCACCTGCACACCCACTAGGAAGCTTAAGAACAGGTCCTCCCAGCCTGCCTCCACATCCCGTGTCCAAGCACACCATCCAGGGGGTCCACCCAGCTGAGTCCACCATTGTTGAACATCTGAGCACTCCTGGGTGCCTGATGTCAGTCCCACTGAACCTGCTGCTGCCACCACAGTGGGCACCCACCAAATATGCCACCTGTGGGCCTGGGGACTGGCCCAACCCAGCCCATTGCAGCAGCTGCCAACACCAGCTCATGATATACAAAACAACCAGAAATAAGTTAATAAAATCACAAAAATAAGCCCTCACATATCAATAATTTTGAATGTAAATGGATTAAACTTTCCAGTTAAAAGACATAAAGTGTCAAAATGGATTAAAAATCATGCCCCAACTATATGCAGAAACTCATCTCACTTGTAAAGACACATATAAGACTAAAAGTAGTTGGTAGTGGTGGCACGTGCCTGTAGTCCCAGCTGCTCGGGAGACTGAGGTGGGAGGATCGCTTGAGCCCAGGAGTTCTGGGCTGTAGTGTGATATGCAGATCGGGTGTCCACACTAAGTTCAGCATCAATATGGTGACTTCCCAGGAGCGGGGAACCACCAGGTTGCCTAAGGAGGGGTGAACCAGCCCAGGTTGGAAACGGAGCAGGTCAAAACTGCCACGCAGTCAGTAGTGGGATCGCCCCTGTGAATAGCCACCACACTCCAGCCTGGGCAACATAGTGAGACCCTATCTCTAAAAATAAATAAACAAATAAAAATAAATAAAAAATTTAAAAAAGACTGAAAGTAAAGGGATGGAAAAAGATTTTTCCATGCAAATGGAAACCAAAAGCACACAGGAGTAGCTGTACTTACATCAGGAAAAACAGATTTTAACTCAAAAACAGTAAGAAGAGAAGTATAGAATAAAAAGATCAATTAAGAGGATATAACAATTCTAAATATATGCACTCAAACTTGGAGCACCAATTAATAAAACAAGTATTATTAGATCTAAAAAGAGATAGACTAATGCAATTATAGTTGGAGACTGCGACATTCCATTCTTATCATTAGACAGGAAATTAACAAAGAAACTGCATTTAAATTAAACATTAGGGAAACCCGTGCCTTCCCTCCCCCAAATAAAAAAAAAAAAGTAAGCATTAGGTTTGTTGGCTCATGCCTATAATCCCAGCACTTCAGGAGGCCAACGCAGGCGGATCACTTGAGGTCAGGAGTTCAAGGCCAGCCTGACCAACATGGTGAAACCCTATTTGTGCTAAGAATACAAAAATTAGCCAGACATAGTGGCATAATCCTGTAATCCCAGCTACTAGGGAGACTGAGGCAGGGTAATCACTTGAACCTGGAAGGCAGAGGTTGCAGTGAACAGAGATCATGACACTGCACTCCAGCCTGGGTGACAGAGTGAGACTCTGTCTCAGAAAACCCAAACAAAAACCAAAAAAACAAAAACAAAACCCTGCACATTAGACCAAATGGACCTAACAGACACTTACAGAACATTTTATCCAACAGTTAAAAAATAAACACTCTCATTAGCACATGGAACAATCTGCAGCATAGCATATTATAACCATATGTTAGGATACAAAACAAGCCACAACAAATTTTTAAAAATCAAAATCAAATCAAGTATCTTTTCAGACCACAATGGAATAAAACTAGAAATCAATCACAAGAGGAACTTGGAAAGCTGTAAAAATACAGTGGAAATTAAAAAACATGCTCCCGAATGACCATTGGGTCAAGGAAGAAATTAAGGAGGAAATAAAAATATTTCTTGAAACAAATGAAAATCAAACCATACCAGCCTGGCAAGGTGGCTCATGCCTGTAATCCCAGCATTTTGGGAGGCCAAGGCAGGAGGATCACTTCAGCCCAGTATTTTGAGACTATGCTGGGCAACATGGTGAAGACTCCATCTCTATAAAAAATTTAAAAAATTATCTGGGTGTAGTGATGCACACCTGTAGTCCCAGATACTTGGGAGGCTAAGTTGGAAGGATGGCTGCAGTCCAGGAGATTGAGGCTGCAGTGTTGCTGTGATCACACCACTACACTCCAGTCTGGGTGACAATGCAAAAACCAACATAGCAAACCTATGGGATATAGCAAAAGCAGGGCTGAGAAGGAAGTTTATAGCAATAAACCCAACAAAAAAGTAGAAAGCTTCCAAATAAACAATCTAATAATACACCTCAAAGAACTAGAAAAGCATGATCAAACCAAGCTCAAAGTTGGTGCAAGGGGCTGGGTGAGGTGGCTAACATCTGTAATCCCAACACTTTGGGAGGCTGAGGTAGGAGGATCACTTGAGCCCAAAGTTTGAGACCAGCCTGGGCAACACATTGAGATTCTGTCTCTACAAAACAATTTAAAAATTAGCCAAGGGCTGGACACCACTTCGTCCCAGCTCACGCCTATAATCCCAGCACTTTGGGAGGCCATGGCAGGTGGATCACCTGAGGCCAGGAGTTCGAGACCAGTCTGGCCAACATGTTGAAACCCCCATCTCTACTAAATATACAAAAAAATAGAGTGGTGGGCAGGGCGCGGTGGCTCACGCCTGTAATCCCAGCACTTTGGGAGGCCGAGGCGGGTGGATCACGAGGTCAAGAGATCGAGACCATCCTGGTCAACACGGTGAAAACCCATCTCTACTAAAAATACAAAAATTAGCTGGGCATGATGGTGCGTGCCTGTAATCCCAGCTACTCGGGAGGCTGAGGCAGGAGAATTGCCTGAATCCAGGAGGCGGAGGTTGCGGTGAGCCGAGATCGCGCCATTGCACTCCAGCCTGGGTAACAAGAGCGAAACTCCGTCTCAAAAAAAAAATAGAGTGGTGGCATGCATCTGTAATCCCAGCTACTCAGGAGCTGAGACAGGGAGACAGGAGAATCACTTGAACCCAGGAGGTGGAGGTTGTAGGGAGCTGAGACTGTGCCATTGCACTGCATCCTGGGCAACAAAGTAAGACTCTGTCTCAAAAAATAAATTAATAAATAATAAATAATAAAATTAGCCAGGCATTGTAGCATACACCTGTGATCCCAGCTACTCAGGAGGTTGAGGTGGGAGAATCCCTTGAGCCCAGGAGGTCAAGGATGCAGTGAGCCGTGATCACACAACTGCACTCCAGCTTGGGTGACAGAGTGAGACTCTGTCTCAAAAAAAAAAAAAAATTTTTTTTTGGTTTTGCTTTTGAATGTAGGAAATATTTAATTATGGTTATCGGCAAAACAAAAAGTATAAAAGGCAAACCAAAGACAGAGAGGAGGCAAGAGGGTAAGCACTGGGATGATCAGCCCTTAGTATGTTTTTCAGTCAGTGGTGAGTGACTAGAGGTCAGGTGGGGACAAGGGACAGTAGACGACAGTGCCTGCTAAATGACCTGCGTCTTATTCATAGGAGAGAGGTTGGTAAGGTAGTTTTCCAGGGTGGGGTGTGAAGGGAAGAGGGGAGAGGTTTGAGAAGTGTCCTGAGGGGTCAGAGGGTCTTTACAACTTTGTAAAAGCACATAAGTACGTTAACAGATCCAGAAAGGATCTCAAAATGTAAAAGTGATTCCTTTGGGATCACTGCTTAAATCCATAACTACCTTAACTATTTTTGTGAGAGAATCAAATACAGCAAATGCCATCAAGCAAGGGGTTCAACCATAGGGTGAAAATATGAGATAGAATGACAGAACTGAAACTTGGTTCTGAATTAAATTCCCATTAGACTTCATTTTCTGCTCCTCTCATCTTCTTCATCAAAAATTGTACTTGCGGCCGGGCGCGGTGGCTCAAGCCTGTAATCCCAGCACTTTGGGAGGCCGAGGCAGGTGGATCATGAGGTCAAGAGATCGAGACCATCCTGGTCAACATGGTGAAACCCCGTCTCTACTAAAAATACAAAACATTAGCTGGGCATGGTGGTGCATGCCTATAATCCCAGCTACTCAGGAGGCTGAGGCAGGAGAATTGCCTGAACCCAGGAGGCGGAGGTTGCGGTGAGCCAAGATCGCGCCATTGCACTCCAGCCTGGGTAACAAGAGCAAAACTCCGTCTCAAAAAAAAAAAATTGTACTTGCATGTGATTTTGAAGTGAAGAGTATAGAGGAACATTGTGA